GCAGATCAGCGCGTCGTACATGAACAGCGCGCCCAATGCGTCGTATTGAGTGCTGCGCGCTACCATGGGCCCTCCCTGCACTGCAACAATTGTGTCTTCGCCGGGCGCAACCTCAGGATTCAAGCCGCGTCGAAAGCAGGGTTTCTTGTCAAGCGGGTCTGGTTCGCCGGGGCCGATATTCAATTCTGAGTACTTGTATTCAGATGCGCCGCGTGGTCTACACTGCTGTCTGGGCTTACCGCGTGTGATCTCAATGCGCGTGACTGCGCCGTATCTGACAGGTGCATCGCACATCACGATCGCAAACTTACTCAAGGGAAAGCTACGATTCAAACTCCGCGCGACGATGGCACTATCAAGTGCCCTCCCATCCTTACCGTGGTACATTATTGGCATGGCTGGTATTATCGCGGAGTTACGAACCCAAAGGTTCAAATGGTATCATAAGATATGTTGTTATCCTCTTCATCATCAACTGCGCATTTCCGCAATGTTCGGTATTGTCATTCAGGCCCCCGACGCGCCCGATGTTGACCATCCGTGGTTTCAACAATTGCAAGCATATATACAGGCGCTACCTGTGCTTGAAAGCGCATACTTCTTCGAAGATGCGTCGCGTTTGCAGCTGATCGGGACCGACGCGTTACGCGATGTGTTTATCGAGATCGGCGTCTTCGGGTTTGGATCAAAGTTCCGCCAACATCGCTGCTCCACAGCACGGCCAGGATTCACATAACCATCCTGCACCAGCAGGTTCATTACCTACTGGTGGATTCCACTGTGATCTTATGCGTGCCGATGGTCACATATGCACACTGACGCCCCCTATCTTAAAAAGCTGGTAGGCTACATCGTGCACGTGAACAATCTATGCATGGCACAAGCACTCTAGACTCTATCGTACTTGGAGCGGTATGTCCATAGTGCTCTGCAACTCCACGCGAAAGATCGAGACCAGATCACGCACGACGCATTTGGCACTACGGCCGATGCAACGTTGATCAGAGTTACATTCCCCCCCCTCCCATCACGTCCGACGCGATCCACACATGTGCCATCTGTAAGCTTTACGGTGTTTCATGCGAGTGCGACGACACGCGTACAATCGCCATATCCGCATGCAGCACCTTTCTGACCCAAGACATTTAGATGTCTCGACGCCGATTTCACGTTCCTTATTTCAGCCTCCCGTACCTGAAGCCATTGATGGGTCTCGGCCCTGCGGCAGCCGCGCCCCGAGGTCCACCGCAGAGGGAGCGCCGCAGGGGACAGAGCCAACACGACATACAGGCTCTCGTTCTGCTCATCGCCAAGCTGTGGTATCAGAACTGCGATGACGTCAAGAATCCCCAGGGCAATCATACTGGCAAAGTATCAGGTGAGCGAGAATTGCAAGCATCTCGCCCAGGGGAAGAATTCTACCGAGAGCTATGCGGGGCCTGCGAAGAAATACAGCAAACGCGTGGAACGCATGGGCCATGGCAGCAAAAACCAAACTCGCAGAGAAAGGCCTCGCACCTCCACGAGAGGCGAATCTACCGCAGTACATCGGCAAGATGAAGAATGGATCCACGGACACGAACGCCTACCTACACAATCTGTTGAAAGAAGTTCGATGTGCCCGATGCCTCGGGGTGAATGTGATGACGGGCAGCGATAGCGACGTTTGTCTCCATGCGATTATGGCGCCTCTCCTTTTGCGCGAGAAAGGCGCGAAGCTCGGGGGAGTGGCGCCGCCAGTCGATCTCGAACGTAGGATCCCGTCGGCGATCGACGAGTTCGAAGCGCAGTGAGTCCTAGGCTTCTGTTTCAGATCACCATGCTGATGCTCGCCCTGTACCTGATGTTCCAGGCCCGTGCCGCCGCCAGCCGAAAGACGGTCCCCCCTGTCGTCCTCGTCCTTCTCCTCTCCCCCCCCTCCCCCTCCCTTCAGCGTGTCCGACGGCGCTCGTTTGTCCAATCGGTTTCAGGAAGTTCGACGGAGATACGAGCAGTCCAAATTTTAGAATGCACAGCAGTAAGACTTGCGCGTGCACTCGCGCAACTGGCATGAGTGCACGGCGTCCGCGGCCCCTCACGCTTCGTGTTGATTCGGGGCTTGCGTGCGCTGTCGTCGGTGGGCCTAGCTTGCGTCACCTCCGTGCGGTCGCGCGTCTCTGAGCGCATGAGCTCGTGATCAGTCATCTCCCCACCAGGGTAATTTGACAGGCTTTGGTACTATCGCTCTTGTGGGTCGATAGTCATTATCCTTACTTCCTCCTCCTCCGCCTCCTCCCCCTCCTCCTCCTAGCTCCCCCCCTCTTCGGCCCGCCCGCCCCTCCCCCCCCCCCCCCCCCCCACGGACGCCGCCGAGCCGCGGGCCCCCGAGGCTTCCCCTGGAGAGCTCGGGGGCGAGCTGGTCTCTCTTGGGCACGAGGCCGGCGTTGTTCCGCCAGGCCTCATAACCTGGGGCCATGGCAGATCGATGCGGGTCGACACGTGCTCCAGGAAGGCGATCGTTTTCTTATTCATTGTTTTGTCGATCGGCGAGGTCCCTCGCCCCACCCCATCTGGAGTCCTCGCCCCCCCCCCCCCCCTGGATTGGATCTTGACTGTTTTGGGCGCCTGCTTCAGGACGCACATTGGTCGCGCTGCTTCAAGCAGTCGCATTAAGCAGAGGTCCGGAGCCAGACCCTCTCCCTCCTCACCCCTTCCGCCCACTGTCGAAACGTCGAATCATGAAATGCTTACAAGATGGAGTCTAGGGCTCCGATTCTAGCTTTTGCGACGCTGCACTTTTGTTGGCATCGTCGGACCTCAGGGTTTCCCGCCGTCCTCGGGACGCTGGTGGTCCTCCCCTGTCCGCAGGAATATCACCAGGACGAAGAGGTGCCACATGCGCCGAGGATGGAGCTGCTTTCTGACCGGGTTGGCCAGCGGGGTCGGCTGGGAAACGTAGGCTGGGGTTTGCCAAAGGGTTGGCCGTAGGCTTGGTTTCGATCCTGGAGGTCCGACGTTGCGGATAAATTACGCATCGTGAGGGTTCACGGCCACAGCTCGGGACCCGATCTTCCTGGGCATTCCTCGAGCCAGATCGGTCCATGAGGGCGGCCAAGACAGGGTGAAACCGCCCTCCTACGCATCAGGACGACGCCAACATTTGAAGGATAGGTCGTTCTTTCTTTACATGACACACCGCAGTCCCAGGGGAAGACGCCGAGGCCCGAGCCCCCGTCTGACTGCGGCGGGGAGGCAACCGACCGCGGTGGGCCCAGGAGTGCAGGAACGCTGCCACCCGGGGCCCCCAGGGGGCGGCCCCGGAACTGCAGCCGCGGGTTCGGCACGTGCCGGAGAGGCGCGCGTTTATGCACCCTCCGTTAAATCTCCCCGCCCCCGGTCTGCGAACGCCCGGACTTCGCCGGCCCAGGGCTTGACACCGACACCAATATCGTCGGCGGTGTGCCTCCACCGAGGGAGGAAGATCCCGATCTCGGCGATGGTGGTAATAATTTTGGCTTCCAAGGTAGCCGAAATATCACCACCAACACCGAAATCTCGCATCATTTTCCCCCGTGTGGAGGCAATTCGCTGTGTTGGTGTTGGTGTCCATTTCCAGGCTTCCAAGAGTTGACCTGCTACATAGCGCCCCCTGATAGAAACGTTGGACCCAGGTGCGGAACTAAAAACAAAACAACAGCGGGGGCGACCTCAAAGCAAGCCCGCACGCGCCCGTGTCACGTTTGGTCTGCCACAGCGCCGCGGAAAAGAAGGTGTCTCTTGTAAGTGTGGTCGTTGCCACCAGAACTTGAACAAAAAGAGGATTGCCAGCCGAGTGAGCTTTGGCCGCGCACTTGTTTACCACGGTCTTCCTGTTCCCCATGAGGGAGGACGAGGGCGTAGGAGGAGGAGGGGGAGGAGGAGGAGGAGGAGGAGGAGGAGGAGGAGGAGGAGGAGGAGGAGAAGAATTGTTTTCCTGGTCCTGGAGCTGAGTGGGAGGCGTTGGCTTTCTATGCCTTCTGGGAACGTGTCCGTGGATGCTCGATGCCCCATTCATTTCTTTTCGGCCACGGGGGGACCGCCCCGGGGCACGCGACGCGTGCACTTGGAAGCTGCCTGCGCCACCCGCGGGGGCCTGCAGCGCCTGCGCCCCTGAGAAGGTTGGAATCCGAGCGTGGGCCGCCCGTTCGCTCTGCAAGGCTCCGGGGCCTCGTTTCGGTTGCGTCGAGTAGGGCCGCGACGCCCAGAGCCTTCCCATCGGAGGGGCCCGACGTACGCACACTGTTCATGTCTAATGTTTCGAAAGGTCTTTAATTGTTAGGGGGGGCAAGATCCTTTCATTCCTAAACGTTTTATCCTGGGCCTCTTCCTGGCCACTCGGGGGCCAGAAACAATCAGGAACGAACACACTTGGAAATGAGCACGATTAGACATGAACGACGTGTACACCATATCGTTTTGGCCGGCCAGGGAGCCGATGGACTCTGCGAAGGAACTCCGTGCACAGGCGGTCCAGCGTCCCACAGGTTGGGCAGCTGGGGCGTCTGTGCGCCGAGCTCCCTGGGCGGGACCACCAGGGCGCGGCCGCAAACGGCTTCTGAGGGCCGAAGTGGGCGACAGAAGAAAACGGGGCCGAGCAGAGGTCGCGCGTAAGCGCCCCCGCTTCGAGTGCAGCGTGAGGCGCTGGAGGCCCGCAAAAGTCATCGCGTAAGGTTGCTGCGCCATTTTCTCGTAGGACCCGTTTTATGACCGTCGTCGAACGACAGACGATGAGACACATCTTGCGCTCCACGTCGATCGATGCGTGGACCTCTGAAGGTCTGGACTACTCCTTCAGGGCCGATGTTTCGCCCCGAGTTGTGTCCTCTGGCGGTCCTGGGGTCCGCGGACGGCCCCTTCAGACGAGGAGAACAGCCAAACCTCTGCCGCTCCGAGTCCGTCGGAGCCTCGGACCCCCGGGCCCAGCTCGAGCGACGACGAGACGCCTCGTCGTCGGAGCTTTTGGGGGGCCCTCCGCGCCTCAGGAGCAGCAGGAGGTGGCGCGCCTCCGGCGCGACCTCGCCCGCAGCGATCAGGAGGCGCGGGCCGCCGGCGCGGCGCAGGAGCAGCACGCGCGCGGGCGCGAGCGGCACGAGGCGTGGCTGAGGCCGGCAGGAAGGGAAGGGGCATCGGGTCGGAGCCAGCTGGGGGTTCGAGGAGGCCCAGCGTTTCGCGTAGGGGGTCGATCGACTACAGAGATGATTCACGCCAGAGTCCATTTGTTCGCCGAATCCACAAGGCAAATCTGGAGAGTGCTCCGTAGAGCTACGGAAGCTTCTACGTGCTTTGCTAGGTTCGCCAAAAACAGTGTGGGGTAAATTCTTTAGTCGATCTCTTACTCGATCATTGACTCCTGCCAGCAGAAAAAAAGGCAGGTCCGAGGTTCTGGGTTCGATGCTTTTTTCCCCAGCTATCCTGTGGTGTTGGGTCCTTGTTTTGAAAAGGCGGTCCCCGCTTTCCTCTCCCCCTCCTCCCCCTCGTCCTTCCCTTCTCCCATCATCATCATCGGAAGCATCATCGGAAGCATCATCACCATCATGAATGTTCATTATCATCATCGTCATCGACATCGTGATCGTCGTCATCATCAACATCATGGCCGTCGTCATCATCCCCATACTCATACTCATACTCATCATCATCATCATCATCATCATCAGCATCATCAGCATCATCAGCATCATCATGCCATCAGCTTCGGCACGCACCTCACACGTTTCGTGGCCCCATAGGGAGCTCGACCTAAGGTCCCAGTGGCGCAGTTCGCGTGGCGGCGCCGCCCCCTTTCGGCACACCCCTCACACGCTTCGTGGCCCCATAGGGAGCTCCGTCCCAGTGGTGCACGCTGCCCCATTTTGGCACACCCCTCAAACGTTTCGTGTCCCCATAAGGAGCTCGACCTAAGGTCCCAGTGGCCAGTTCGCATGGCGGCGCCGCCCCATTTCGGCACACCCCTCACAAGTTCCGTGGCCCCATAGGGAGCTCCACCTAAGGTCCCAGTGGCAGGGTTCACATGGCGGCGCCGCCCTATTTCGGCACACCCCTCACAAGTTCCGTGGCCCCATAGGGAAGCTTCCCCGAAGACGATACTCACGACTGCGGTACTCACAGCTGCATGCGTTTGGGTCTTTCGTCTGGCTATTTTTTTTGTTTTGCCTTTTTCGTCCCGCGGGGGCAGTGTTCGGGCCCCGGCACCGTGAAGCACTGATGCAGGGCGAAAACTGAGCGCAAGATGGACCAGGTCGGATCCGCGAGGGACGGGTCTTGAGCGGACATGGCTTCATTTCCTTCTCCTGGCCGATTGCTTGGGGCCCCGATCCGCTCAGACCCCCGGGGGCATCCTCCAGGAGTCGACCTGTTTCTAGAAGATCATGCTACGAGCGCTCAGGGACACCAGCGGAAGGCGGAAAGGTTGGAAAGAGGGAGGATCCGTCAACGGCATGCTCCTGGCGAAACGCAGGTGCCGCATGGTACCCCCAAACATGCGCACAAACATAAACTCTGCTCGGCCTGAGGGCCGACCACCTCCTACACAAAACATGACAAGATCGGCGAGTACGGTTTTTTTTTGTAATCCCATGTTTATGTACCAAACAAAATTGGGGAGGTCCGCGCTGGGGCTCCCTGTCCTCCGGCGCCGCCCGTGGCGCGCTCCGCGCACCAGGCGGGGAGGCGCAGCGCCGATTTTAAGTGACCCTCGCGTACCCCGAAGAGTTTACGCTTATGGCACGTTTTGTCCCTCCAGGGTCCCCGGGTGGCCTTGGTGTAAAGACGCCCTGTCTGTCCAACTTTTGGGACGCTGGACGGTCTATGCTCGGCTGCGCGTAAGAGTGGCCCTTCGCCAGGGTGATCTTTGGTGCGGGCCCACAGGGGTCCCCCCGGCGCTGGCCAGAGCGCCTGCATCCGAGCCCTCGCGGCCCCCCAAAGCCGCGCACCAACGGCCACTCCTGCTCGTGTAAGCAGGCGCTGCACGCCGAATCCCGCATCCTAGTGGTTCATTGGCCGACCAAGCGACGTGTTGTGTGCATCTACTTGTGCGTAGCCCGAGGCCTCACCATCGGAGGGGCTCGATGTATACACCCCGTCGTTTTGGCCGGCCAAGGGGCCACTGGGCTCGGCGATGGAATTCCTTGTTCAGGCGGTCCAGCGTCCCACAGCTTGGGCAGCTTGGCTTAAGTCAGGCGTGTCCCTCTACAGCAGGAGTATTCAAACATAGTCAAAAAGTAGTCTGGGGACGATTGTTCGACTGTTTTTGGCTATTTGGGGAAATGTTTGAAGTATGTTTTATTTGTTCGTCCACAATCTGCCTGTAGGAGGACATGCCCGACCGAAAGCTTGGGCGACGGGACGCCGAGCTCCTCCGCCGACCAAAAGTGACGTGGTGGGCCCAGAGAGCTCCGAAGTCTTGACCTCTTCCGCGCCGCGTGCCTGGGAGACTCGACCACCTTCGGAGGAGGGATGTGCTAGGATGACGAGCAATGACATAAACACAAAAACTCGGAGGTCCGCGCGGATTCCTCGGATTGGCGTTGGACCCCCCTCCCTGGCGCGCGGAGTTCGTTCCCCTATATGCGACACCAGCACCATCTGGGGGCCCACCTCCAGCGAGGAGGCCCACGATGCCTCCCCGAGCGGGAGGATGAGGATGTCTCGAGCGAGGGGACCAGGGAGATCCCCCATTGCTCCTCGCATCTCCTCGCCCTGGCGGTGTGGGCGAAAACCTTTCCTTATTCTTACTTCCCTGGGACCGGCTCTTCGTCCAAAGTAGTATTGGTCACGGTCCCGGGCCTGGCGAGCTGGGTGCGCGCAGAGGGCGGTAGGGGGAGGGGGGGAGACTTCTGTGAAGGAGGCTGCTTCTTAGAAGTAGCGCAAGCGCCCCCGAGAGTGTGAGAAGGAAAAGGTATCCATACCTATACCCTTTCCTCGTTTTCCTCTTTTTGGGCCTCCTGGGAGGTCCTCAACGCCAACGCTGGCTTTGTTTCGACTTCCTGGTCAGAACGCGCCCAGGAGAGGTTTGGGGAGTAGCGGTATCGGTACAGTTTGGTTCCCTCAGAGATTGTGAGCTTTGTCTTCTCACTATTTTAATTGCCCGCATTTCCGCGCCTACCAGTCCGTCTGTTTCACACTACGTCTGATGCGCTCTCTCGTGGAGTCGGCTGTCGTTGAGGTGTCCGAAGGCGCGGCCCTAATCTGTAAACGAAAGGCCCGCGCCTTCTAAGAAGCAGCCTCCTCCTGAGAAGCCGACCCACCTTCCCCTACCCCGCTCTGCGCGCCGCCAAGCGAGAGCCCCCAGATGCAGCAAGACCGCAAAACCACGATCTCGTTTTTTCAATACGTTGAATCACGACCTGATCTCAGCGGGGATGCGTCTCAGCGGGGATGCGTCCACCCCGAATCGCCCCAATCTATGTGTCTATATGTATAGATGTATCTATATATATATATATATATATACATCGTCGATGTGGGCCTGATAGCCCACTCAGCCCAGGAACGTTCAGGCTCGTGATCGGGGGCCCATCGCCGATCTATTAGAGACTTCCCAGGGGATGGCCTGGGGAGTCCAGCCTTTAGCCTCGAGATCATATTTTTGCTGCGACGTGGGACCCCGGAGGAGAGTGGTTTTGAACCTTCTGGACCATCGCGTTTTATCCCCCCTCCTAAACGTAACTCCCACCCACCCCCTGGACCCATCTCTACAACAAAAGTGTAAATCGTTGCAGTGGCTTTTGTGTACGCAAGCGCCGTGGTGCACGCAGGCTTCGCGTTTTGCGCAGGCGCCGTGGTGCATGCAAGCGATGTGGTGCAAGCGTGCAGCATGCATCGGGACATACAGTGCGGTACAGGTTTTGAGACATGCTCCGTGTAACGTTTTGGCTCTGGATGCGGTAGGAGCAGAACATGACAGCAATCGTGCTTTCTGCAAAGTGGATGCAGCATAGTGGCAGCAAGCGCCAGCACAATGCAATGCTCGAAGGAGGGTGTGAAGGAGCAACAACACGATGGTGCAAGTACGCGTTGCGCAGTACGTCGGCGATGTTGTGCAAGCGGCTGCGGCGGTGGACACTGCGCTGCGAACCGTGGTGCGTGTGGTGATGTGCGCAAGCGCTGTGGTGCCAGCCGGAGCCACACGGCGGGAGGGCGTTACGTTTTGTCCCCCCCCCACCGCCCCCCCCAACAACCCCCGTGATGGCCGCGGATGGGCACGTGCTCTCGAGGCGTCTGCCCAGTTCCCGGGACCGCCTGTCCATCCCGAGTCGTTTTTTCGTTGACGGCCTCTGGGCCCAGCAAGGGACCCCAGGGGCGCGAGCATTGGAACAAAACCGTGCGCCGTGAGTTGTGATGCTGTCATGACCCGATGGGGATCTGCGAGGACCCGTTTTTGCCCAAGGGCTTGCTTCCCCTTCGCTTAAAACACACATAAGTTGGTGTCCCTTGTTTCCCACGTGTTTAGTGGGGCTCTTGTTGTCTTCTCTCCCACGTCCCGCCCGCGTCTCCATCACTCACCTCTCTCCCTCCTCCCTCACCTCTTCTTCCTCTCTCACCTCGCTCACGCGCAACACATGGACGGCGCGCACATGAGACACGCATCTGCGTACAGCCGCATGCATGCACACACTCGCAGACACCATACAACGCCAGTGTGGCACTTTCTCGACACCGTAGGGGGTGCGCAAGGGGTGGTCTCTGAGCGCGGCCGCTATGCACGCCGGTCGTGCAAGGCATAGCAGGCGTGGCTTTTTCTCGACACCATAGGGGGTGCGCAGCGGGTGGTCTCTGAGCGCGGCCGCTATGCACGCCGGTCGTGCAGGGCATATCAGGCGTTGCATTTTCTCGACTCCATAGTGGGTGCGCAGGGGGGGGGTCTCTGAGCGCGGCCGCTATGTACGCCAGTCGCGCGGGGCATAGCGGGCGTTGCATTTTCTCGACACTATGCGTGGTGAACAGGTGGTGGTCGCTGAGCGCGACCGCTATGCACGTCAGTCGCGCAGGGCATAGCATGCGTGGCACTTTCTCGACACCATAGGGGGTGCGCAGGGGGTGGTCTCTTAGCGCGGCCGCTATGTGCGCTGGTCGTGCAGGGAATAGCAGGCGTGGCTTTTTATCGACACCATAGGGGGTGCGCAGGGGGTAGTCTCTGAGCGCGGCCGCTATGCACGCCGGTCGTGCAGGGCATATCAGGCGTTGCATTTTCTCGACACCATAGGGGGTGCGCGGGGAGTGGTCGCTGAGCGCGGCCGCTATGCACGCCAGTCGTGCAGGGCATATCAGGCGTGGCTTTCTCGACACCATCGTGGGGGCGCATGGGGTGGTCTCTGAACGCGGCTGCTATGGAACACCAGTCGTGTATGGCATATCAGGCGTGGTTTTCTCGACACCATAGTGGGGGCGCGGGGAGTGCCTCTGAGCGCGGCCGCTATGCACGCCAGTCGCGCAGGGCATAGCAGGCGTGGCATGTTTCTCGACAACATAGGCGGTACGCAGGGGGTGTTCTCTGAGCACGGCCGCTATCCGTCACGGTCGCTCAGGACAGCACGCGTAGCATTTTCGCGACACCGTCGGAGTTGAGCAAGGGTTGGTCTCTGAGCGCGGCCGCTATGCACGCCAGTCGCGCAGGGCATAGCAGGCGTGGCATGTTCCTCGACAACATAGGGGGTACGCAGGGGGTGTTCTCTGAGCACGGCCGCTATCCGTCACGGTCGCTCAGGACAGCACGCGTAGCATTTTCGCGACACCGTCGGAGTTGAGCAAGGGTTGATCTCTGAGCGCGGCCGCTACGCGCCCCAGTCGTCCACGACATAGCAGGCGTGGCGTCATCAGCATCAGCATCATCATCATCGCCGGCTTCAAGAACTGCAGCCACCCTGGCTCACGTCGGCTCAGACCGCTGGATATGTGAACGCGGGCTTCCGCCGGTAACTCTCCGTCAAAGGTACGGTCCCCGTCATGGCGCCCAAATGCGCCATGTCCGCGCTGCCACCGCAGTGCGAGCAGCTCAAGCAATCAATGCTAGAGATGGGCGCCGAGGTGAACCTGGATGGTTTGCGCGGTTATGTCGTCAGGCATGAGAACGTCTTGGTACAATGCGCATTTCATGCTTACAACCGACAGTTGATGAACTGGTGGCATGAGATGAGATGCGATTCTCCAAATTTGAAGACGGGCCGCGTAAACGAGTGGCTGACGATGCGACAGTGCTTGTTGAGGCACTTACTGGACCCTTCTTCGGTATCGACGTCACCCACGGTATCGGCGGGGCAACGGCCGCCCACATCATTCTCGCACGTTTCACTTCAACGTGTCTTGTTCAATGACAGAAAACAACGGCATATCGCGTTCAATTTGATGGTTGTCGGCCAACCAAAACAAGGAAATTACTCAGACGGAAGGACCCAACATGAGAATCTTATGGACAAATCTGGAAAAACCCTCACCGTCGTCCTCGTGTTTGGTGAGGCGTCCTGGCTGTCTCTTCTGCGTGCTTGTGTTTCGCCCTGGCGCGGGGATACGTGCCGGGAGTAGCGCTCTGGGAACACGACGAACACAAAGTGGCCTACAGTTGGCTCCGGACATTCAGAATGTGGCCCGGGAATGGTGTTTTGGGAACACGAAAAACACGAAGTGGCCTACACTTGGCTCCGGGCATTCAAAATGTGGCCCCGGAGTGGTGTTCTGGGAGCACGAAGAACACGAAGTGGCCTACAGTTGGCTCCGGGCATTCAAGATGTGGCTTGGGAATGGCGTTCTGGCGGCGCGGGAGCCCAAAAATGGCGACGGTTAGAGGAATTGGATGACCCGCTCGGATTAGTAACATGATCCGCGGGCCCCATAGGGAGGGGGCTCCCGCTTGAGATTTCTTCGCAATTCATTCACAGACGAAGCACATGTGGCCTGGAAGTGGCGTTCTGGCAGCGCGAAAGCCCGAAAGTGGCGACAGTTACAGGAATTGGATGACCCGTTCGGATTAGTAACGTGATCCGCGGGCCCCTTAGGGAGGGGGTGAGTGAGTGAGTGACTGACTAACTGGTGATGATGATGAGCATCACACTCTCTCACGCGCACACTCATCATCATCATATGTGAGTTCATGAGCGTGTGAGTGAGTGAGTGCGAATGAGTAAGTGAGGGAGTGAGGGAGTGAGTGTGTGAGTGTGTGAGGGATGACGAGGAGTGAGTGAGTGTGTGAGTGAGAGAGTGAGTGAGTGAGTGAGGAATCGGTGATGATGCTGATGGTGGGTTCCTGTTCCTGCGCGGGGTGTCCAGAGAAAACAAAAACACAACTTTGGATGTGGGGAACAACGGCGGCCCCAATCAGGGGAATAACGGCGGCCCGCGCACGACGCGCGGCGAGACGGGAGCCCCCCAAAACGGAACACCATAGCACTCCAAATATTGAAGCGCGCCGGGTCTTCGAAAACCAGCAAAACAACGCCCCCGGCGTTTCGAGGTTATCTGAAATCTCGGGGCCCGCCCCTTCCATTCAGGAGCGAACATTGGCGCAGACACGCATTGTCTTTCTTGCCGAAGAACCTGTGGACAAACGTGGGATATGGCGGGGGAAACGAATCTCCAGAACGATGGCACAAAATTTGGAGTCTTGAAATCTGCGTTGAGATATTCGTTTCTCCCTGCGTCGACTACACGTACGAGTGACCTTCCGCCAAAGTGACCCTGGACGCGGGCTAACCCGGTCTCCCCATCGACAAAACGCAGTGCGGCAGTAGCGTTTTGCGCGTTCACGTTTGGCCCCCCCCCCCCCCCCGCGGTTTCCGCAAAACCGCGCGCCAACACTTTTGCCCAGGGCCACTCTTTGCGTGTGGTCGGCTGGGCCCGCTCCCTTTCGTGTCTTCAAAGAGGGGCGAGGAGGAGTACGCCGAGCGGTTGGAGGCGGAGGCCGCGGTGCTGCTGCTGCAAAGCCCCGCCGCGCTGCGGCAGGTGCGGCTGGAGGCGGAGCTGGAGCAGCTGCAGGCCAACACAGTTTTCGGATGCACGAGACAGGCGTAGACCCTTCGTAGATCTACCCGCCGTGACCCCCTCGCGTTGTGGAAAAAAAACACGACGGGAGGTTTTTGGCTGTGTTCGGCCTCCGGGGGCCCTTCTTGGGCTTCGGGACCGTCCAAGAACGACGCAGGATGAAAAACCAGTACTGGGGAAGGGTTCCAGACCTCTGGGGGTCTACGCTGTGACATAAAAAATCACACACGATGTCAGTTGCATGGGTACGTAGATTGTTTGTAGGTTTACAAATGCTCGGAATCTGTTTGTGGATTCTACGAGAGAAATTCTGGGGTTCATGAGTTCCCCAGCCGGTTTCATACTCGAGCCCCCCCCCCTCTCAGCTTCGGAGGAGGAAGACAAGGTATACCTTCCCTCGTTTTCACCTTTGTGGGCCTCCTGGGTGGCCTTCGTCACCGCCGCTGGGCTCGCTTCGTCAGAAGGCGGCCAGGGGGAGATCCAGGGAGTAGCGGCATCCGTTTTAAGAGGTTTTCCTTAGTTGAGGCGGTGCAGAAAAGGGCCTCGTCTCCTTTGCCCACGGGCAGCGTGGAGCTTCTCAGGGTGATGCTGCAGGCCTCCTGGCACTGGTGTGTTTCCTGGCGCAGCCGACTGGTTGGCTGATTCTGAGGCCTTGCTGCCATAGCCCCGATGACCCTTGGCACGCGCGTCCTTTGTTAGTTCGGACCGCTCCATGCTCCATTCCCGAAGGGTCTCGCCTTCGATCCTCGAAGGAGCTTGCATTTCTTCCTCGGCGAAGGGTCGGCGGAGGGCGGCGGAAGTAGAACGAGGCCGCCTCCGCCGGCGGAAGGACGGCGGAAGCCGGCGGAAGTAATAATATGCTCCCAACGAGATAGCAATTGTCAAAGCACGCCCAGACAAAATAGCGGCCGGATACAACAGAGTACGCTGAGAGGCAGACGTGGAAACGAGGAAACAACGAAGTGGGACAGTATACGTAAAGCGGTCCCTCAGGTTGGCGTCGGAAACAATCAAGAGACTAAAAATGGCAGCCGGAAACTATTGACAAACAAGTTGTTTAATGAACCTTGGAAGTTTTGGACAAACGCCTTTGGGCGTTTCTAAGGCACACGAAGGCAATAGTTTGAGTACAGGGTTTCCAGACCTCCCAGCAGGGCCTTCACGTCTCAGCCCCACCATCGAAGAATAACACATTGTAGATACCAGCCTGGATCATATCCCTAGCCCAGTGCGTGCCATCGCCTCATCTCGATGCCGATCTTAAGGATCCCTTTAGTTTCTGAGCGTGCATTCGTAAGATTGTCCTCGCCCTTGGACTCTAGGGATACGGATAACGTCCAGTCTGGTTACATCAACGTAAGACTCACAGAACCCGAGCACAATAGCAACTTCGGTCATTCGGGCACGCGTTTCCAGCATTTTCCCAGCGTGAACCGACTCCGACAAACGGCAACGTTTTGCATCGAAGTCGGACTTCCCGAAAACAGTGCTTTCAAACATGACTTATCGTTGCCACCGAGCAACATTAGTATTCGAACGTGATTCGAGCATGGCCAAACGAGTGTTGCGGGGTAGTTCTGACTTTCGGTTCGGAGCTCCGCGGGGATCTCTCGGATCGGCGCCGCACCCCCCTGTCTGCGTATCCTGGGCGCTGCTCCTGGCGCGTCCCGCGCGCCAGCTGCAGGTCCAGCGGGGCCCGACCGATCCCCATCCACACAGGGCTTCAGTCGGGCACGTCCCTCCACAGGAGGAATTTCCAAAAATAGTCAAAGAGTTGTCGGTGGACGATGTTGTGACTATGTTTGTCCATCTTGGCTTCTTTAATGCAATTTTAAAAATTTTGTCCAACATCCGCCTGTAGGGGGACATGCCCGACCTAACACTGGTCCCTGGCAGTTCAGCCCCACCAGTCAGAGGAGGAGAACTTACCGGGGCGGGTCGTGGGCGAGGACGACGACGCAACAGCAACACACCGAGCAGATTCCGCCAGGCGGAATACCATGTCTGCCATGCACCCAGAGAGCTTTATTGGGGCAGTTAACCCTGACCCCCGACGTCATGTTTTTTGTCCATAAAGTCGCCCCCCAGAGGTCTCGACACCATCCAGAGGATCGGCTTTTCAGCCTTAGTCTTCTTGTCACGGTCCTGAGGCCCGGGAAGAATGGCCTCCAGTGGCTGGAAATGGTGAAACATCTCAGGTCCTATTTTTGTTGAAGGGGGGGGACTTTCGAGGGGGTTCAGGAACGACGCTCAGCGCAGGCCGAGTGCCAGAGGCTGGAGTGGGACGTCCAGGCGCTCACCGAGACCCAGGGCGCGGAGGAGAGGCGCGTGTGGTCCCTCGCGGACGCCGCGGGTCGGCGCGGCGTGGAGCTCGGCTTCGCCGAGGATCCGGAGGGCGCCAGCTGTGAACATCCTGCGGCGCCGCGGCCACGCGCGCGGCGGCGCGGCGTAGAGAGGAGGAGGAGGAGGAAGAGGAGGAGGAGGAGGTGGAGGAGGAGGATGAGTAGGAGGAGGAGGAGGAGGAGTAGGAGGAGGAGGAGGAGGAGGAGGAGGAGGAGAGGAGGAGGAGAAGGAGGAGGTGGAGGAGGAGGAGGAGGAGGAGGAGAAGGAGGAGGAGGGAGGAGGAGTCTCGAGCGAAGAGGTGCGCGCGGCGGGCCCGCGTCCACGCGGCGTGGGGGCGCTGGATCCGCCCACTGGGGATCGGCAGCGCCACTCCGCAGAGGGAGGGCAGGCGGCGAGGGGGCAGGAAGTCGGGGGTCGGGGAGGGGGTCGCCAGCTGGGCACGCGAGGCCGCTCCCGGCCAGGCCCCTTCTGCGCCCGGGAGCGGTGCACATGCCCTCCTGCCGCTCCTCGGGGCCCAGCGAGCCGAGGCTCGGAGACCACTGGGGCGGCCGGCGGGGGGCGGCCGGCGTGGGGCGGCCGGCGGGGGGCGTGGGGCCGGCGTGGGCCCTCGGCAGGCCCCAGGGCCGGCAGAGGACGCCTCGGGCTGGAGGGCCCACATCGCAAGGAGGTGGCCCAGGCTTCACGGGGGGCCCACGCGTCGGAGAAGCTGGAGCGCCAGGTGTCTGGGGAGCTCTGTGGGTGCTGCCCACGAGCGCAGAAAGCGCTGCCCGGGAGCTGCCTGGGAGATGCGCGCGGACTCGGAGAGCGTCGCTCGCGTGGGGGCTGCCTGGCCGCTGCCCACGGGCCTGCGAGGGGCCGCCTGGGAGCTGCGGCCTGGAGGGCGTGTATCGGCGGCGAGCCCAGGGTTCAGGAGGTAGAAACACACACGGACACCACTCATCGTCGAGTCCTTAGAAAATATAGGAAAATATGGGAAGTGGGGGGGCGACAAAAATCCAGAAGATATGAGGAACTATAAGGGAATCCTGTTACTCGTGTCTATTTATTCGTGCGTTCCAGGGCCCCTTCAAGGGTGGAAGTGAGAAGGGGCAGGCTTTCTCAGAAGGCTCGGGAGCCCCCTGGCCTTCTGAGAAGTTTCCTGAACCCTCCCCGGAGACACAGAGCATGTCTCAGAAGGGGGGGGGGGGAGCTTCTGAGAAGTCCCGCCGCCTTCTGAGTAGGCGTTCTCCTTGCCACTTCCCCCCCAACGCACGCCGCCGAGTGCACACCGATCCTGGGCCCAGGATGGGCCTGGCCAGGATCGGGGCACGTTGGATGTGTGCAGCTCGCGCGCCAGCCCAGCCCCCAGAAGCCCCGACCCCTAAGTCGGGCCTGTCCCTCTGGAGACTTTTTGTTTTGCTATTTTGAACATGTTTTGAATATGTTCTGATTATTCAATCGCTTCGCTCACTCCGCCGGCCCGTATTGCATGATCGCTACTGCTTCGGCGCGGGCTCGGGGCCATTTCGGCGCCGCCGGAAGGAGGAAGATGAGGATGGGGAGGGGGAGGGGAGGAGGAGAAGAGGATGAGAAGGAACGCAGGAGGATGAAGATAAATATGAGGAGGAGGAGGAGGAGGAGGAGGAGGAGGAGGAGGAGGAGGAGGAGAGAAAAAGGCGGAGGAGGAAGCCTCTCGATGGCATCTTGCGGCGCTCTTGGGGCCAAACAGGGCCGTCGTCCAGATGCTTCTTTGGGAGGCCCTGGGGTCTGTTGAGAGGCCGTTCGGGGGCGCCTGGGAGACATTTTTGAAGCCTTGTAGGGCCTCTTTTGAGCCTCCTTGGAGCCTCCTGGGGTCTCTTGGGGCCCTCTTGGCGGCATCTTGGGCCATCTTGGGGGCCTCTTGGGGCCTCCTGGGGCCCTCTTGGGGCGGAAGGCTCGAGGTTTCGGTTCGTGGTCCCCATTTTGGGCTCCTCTTGGGGCCGTCTTGGGGCTCTCTTGGGCCGTCTTGGGCGTCTCTTGGGCCGTCTCGGGGCCCCTTTGGGCTCTCTGGGGGCCTTCTTGGAAGCCTCTTGAGCCGTCTTCGTGCGCTCTTGGGGGCCTCTTGGGCCGTCTTGGAGCATCGGAAAGCCGAAAATGCGACAAGGCCAAAATCTGTCCCAAACCATAGTAAAATTGATGATTTTGGCCTCTCGGGGCGCTCTTGTGAGGCCTCTTGGAGGCCACTTGGAGCGTCTTGGCGGCTTCTTGGGCCGTCTGGGGATCATCTTCGGCGTCTCGGAGCGTCCTTTGGGCGTCTCGGGGGCCTCTTGGGCAGTCTTATGGGCCTTGGGGCCCTCTTGGCGCGCTCTGGGGGGCCTGAGAGGCCGTACCCAGGAGGAAAACCATCTCTGAGTAGACCTTCCCGGGCTGCGGTCGGAGTACTTTTCGCCGGGGGGGGCCCAGGGGCCGCCCCGCGCGCGCAAACTAGAAATATTGTTAAGTAGTTACCGGAGATCTTAGCACGCCTCTGGCCCGTTGGGCCGGCGAATTTGTTTTTTATCGCCCCAAATCCGCCTGCAGGAGGACATGTCCGACCTGACCAGACTCAGGGCCGGTTTTTCGTCCTGAGTCGCTTGTTGACGGTCCCAGGGCCCGGCAAGAGCCTCCAGAGGCCGCCTGCGGCCAGACAACTCACGAGGTGAGGTTTTTCGCCACAGTGGCGAGATAAACTCACGACGTGAAGGACGAGTGTTTTTCTCGTCCTGTACGCCAACGACGTGGCGACGTATCCTCACGACGCAGTGGAGCAATCAGGACGTCGTCCTGATTCTTCCTTTGCGCGAGCGAGCATGTTTGGGTGCTGAGGACGAGGGCGGCCGGGTGCTCTGCGGGCTAGCGGGCGCCTGCGATGTGATCGCAGAGAGCTGCGACAGGCTCGCGGAGGAGCGGGCCGAGGCCGCGGGCGCGGCGGAGGCGGAGCGCGCCGTGGCGTCGGAGAGCGTTGTCGGAGGAGGAAAAAGGTACCCACTTCCGCTTGTTTAAATGGCTAATGAACAACCATACCTGTGCCTCCGTTATGCTTTTTAGGGCTTCCAGGGAGGCCCTCGCCGCCACCGCTGGATTCGCCTCGAAATCTTGGTCAGACCGCACCACAGGAGAGGTCCCGGGAGCAGCGGCATGGGGTACCTTTTGATTCCCCAAAGTGGGCCCACTTCTCACCACCGTTTTTGGAGGCACGGCGCGGCTGACCCATGGTGGTGCTTTGCTTGGCGCGGTCGCCGCCTCGGACATCACGAGCGGCGAACATCTCCGTATCCGCGCCCGCGCGGTGTGGACTTTGGGGCGCGATGATTCGAAAGAGCGCCCCGTGTCCGCGGGGTCGCGGCACAGGGGTTTGGCCCACGAGGTCGTGGATACGGGCATGTTTTTCGCACAGCAGAGCACAGCGAAGCTCCACCATTGGGCAGCCTCCCCTGGTCCACAGCGGCGGCAGTGACAAGTGGGCCCGCCAGGAGATCGAGAGCCTCGAAGGGGGCAGAGCTGCGAGCGCCGCGCGCGCGGAGCAGATCGGGCGGTCGGGCGGTGAGAGATGTATGCAAACACATCGATCCTGGCCAGACCCATCCTGGGGCCCTGGCCGACACAGAGAAGGGCTTATTTTTCTTTCTCGCACACACATACACACGCACACACACGCTTTTTTGATCTGCGAGTCGAGAGCGAGCCTCTTCCGATAAAAGCTAGGCGGCCCGCGCACAGCTTTACTCAGCAGAGGGCCGCACACACACACAGACACACACACACACACGCGCGCGCACGCGCGCACGCGCGCACACGCGCACACGCGCACATGCGCACACGCGCACACGCGCACACGCGCACACGCGCACACGCGCACACGCGCACACGCGCACACGCGCACACGCGCACACGCGCACACGCGCACACGCGCACACGCGCACACGCGCACACGCGCACACGCGCACACGCGCGCACGCGCGCACGCGCGCACGCGCGCACGCGCGCACGCGCGCACGCGCGCACGCGCGCGCGCACGCGCGCACGCGCGCACACGCGCACGCGCGCACGCGCACACGCACACGCACACGCACACGCAGCACACGCACGCACACGCACGCACACACGCACACACGCACGCACACGCACGCACACGCACACGCACACACGCACACACACAGCACACACACACACACGCACACACGCACACACGCACACACGCACACACACACGCACACACGCACACACGCACACACAACACACGCACACACACGCACACACGCACACACGCACACACGCACACACGCACACACGCACACACGCACACACGCACACACGCACACACGCACACGCACACGCACACACACAGACAGACAGACAGACAGACAGACAGACAGACAGACAGACAGACAGACAGACACACACACAGACACACACACACAAACACACACACATAGCTTTCTATATTGTTAGCACCCCGCAATTGCGGTTAAGAGTGAGGGGGCGGGTGCGGGCGACGCGGGCGTCGAGCCGTCGGGCCTTTTGGCCCGCTCTTGGAAGGACTTCAAAAGCAGCCCGCCGCAGGCGCCGAACATTTTGATTTGTGCACTGGACGCGGGGTGAGTCGCAGGTTCTCCACCTGGAACGAATGCAACAGAAGCTTGCCGCAGGCGCCGAAGCTTTGGCTTGTTTAATGAACGTAGTTTGGGTCGCGGGTGGGTCGCGGGCTCTCCACCCCACCTGGAAGGAATTCAACAACAGCCCGACGCAGGCGCCGAACATTCTGATTTGTACACTGAACGCGGTTTGGGTCGCGGGTGGGTCGCAGGTTCTCCACCTGGAACGATTGCAAAAGAACCTTGCCGCAGGCGCCGAAAATTTTGGGTGGGTCGCGGGTTGGGTCGTGGGTGGGTCGCGGGTGGGTCGCGGGCGCGGTTTGGGCCGCGGGTGGGTCGCAGGTTCTCCACGTGGAACGACTGCAAGAGAAACCCGCCGCAGGCGCCGAAAATTTTGGGTGGGTCTCGGGGTGGGTCGCGGGTGGGCCGCGGGTGGGTCGCGGTGGGTCACGGGTGGGTCGTGGGGTGGGTCGCGGGTGGGTCGCGGGTTGGGTCGTATGGGTCGCGGGTGGGTCGCGGGGGGTCGCGGGGTGGGGGCGGGGTGGCCTCTGGGTGGGTCGCGGGCGGGTCGCGGGGTGGGTCGCGGTGGCGGGTGGGTCGCGGGTGGGTCGCGGGGGGTCGCGGGGTCGCGGGATGGGTCGCGGGTGGGTCGCGGTGGGTCGCGGGGTGGGTCGCGGGTGGGTCGCGAGGAGGGTCGCGGGTGGGACGACGACAACAACAAACAACAAACAACAAACAGCAACAATAATCCGAATCGCGGGATTCCACTTCAGCCACACACCCAGGGACAGTGAATGACCGTTCGGTTCAGCCCCCTCACTTTGATCTTTGTATATATATATATATATATATATATATATATATATATATATAGGTATCAATCAATACATACATTCACACATACATACACATTGTGGCCGCGCGCGGCGTCGGACGGAGCCGGTTCGGACCCCTCAGTTACACTCAGTTCCCCTCAGTTACATTCAGTTTCTTTCAGTTGCACTCAGTTTCCCTCAGTTACACTCAGTTTCCCTCAGTTACACTCAGTTTCCTTCACTTACACGCAGTTTCCTTCAGTTACACTCAGTTACACTCAGTTTCCCTCAGTTACACTCAGTTCCCCTCAGTTACACTCAGTTTCCTCTCGGTTGCATTTAGCTTTCCTGGCGCTGCGTTTGCGGCTTGGTATCCTACAACTGCAGCCTCTTTCTGACGCAAGGAACTGAGACGAAACTGAGGGAAAACTGAGGGGGACAGCGGCGCCCCTTTGTCAACACCTCCCTTCGCCCCCTCCTTTCAGTTTCCGTCAGTTGCGCTCAGTTTCCTCTCGGTTGCATTTAGCTTTCCCGGCACTGCGTTTGCGGCTTGGTACCCTACAACTGCAACCTCTTTCTGACGCAAGAAACTGACACGAAACTGAGGGAAAACTGCGGGGGACAGCGGCGCCCCTGTGTCAACACCTCCCTTCGCCCCCTCCTTTCCAATCTTTTTCCGCCATCCTTTCTCGCTGCTCTGCCTCCCTCGTGTTCCTTCCTCCCCCCTCCCTTATCCGTGTCCTGTTCCTGTTGTTGTTGCTCCTCCTCCTCCCCTCGTGCTTCGGGGCGTCAGGCTTTCCGGGGTCGCGACCTCATGATGATGATGATGGTGATGATGATGATGATGCTGATTATGATGATGCTGATGATGATGGCGATGCGTATGACGATGAGGAGATGAATATGATTGTGACGGACAGCGGGGGTGAACAACATGATGGGTCGAGGACAACGAGGAAGAGGAGGAAGAGGAGGAGGAATATGGTGGTGGTGGTGATTGTGAGGGGGATGAGGAGGAGGAGGAGGAGGAGGAGGAGGAGGAGGAGGAGGAGGAGGAGGAGGAGGAGGAGGAGGAGGAGGAGGAGGCGTGTGGCGCCGCCGGTTCTGGCTCACCACGCTGCGGCGCCGCATGCTAAGCACGATCCGGTCCCACAGCGCACAGCGTCATCTCCTCGAGCTCCTGCCAGCCTCCCGCCCCGCGGAGCGGAGCGACACGCTATCAGCTCGCCAAGGCATAGCGTGCCGCCAGGGGCGCCGCTGCGACACGCTCAGCAAAAGTCCCTGGCCGTAGGCTTCTTGGCGGTTTTGGGCCTTGGCTGGGACTGCCAGCGCGTCCTTGTCGCCACGAGGCCAGGTTTTCCAGAGAACTATCCGGCAGGCTGCAAACGCCACGTTGGGCGTATCAGAAAGGGCCTTGCCTTCAAGGGTCGAAGGAGTTGTCATATCTTCCTCGGCGGAAGGCAGCGGAAGGGCGGCGGAAGGTCGTCGGAAGTAGAAGATGTCCCCCCAAGAGATGAAAACAATTTTGGGTTCAAGGTCTCCGAGACCGCCCACATGAGGGGTCCGAGGGGCCGACAGAAACGGGAGGGGCCCAGATTTCCAGGCGCAATCGAGGCATCATCGGGGGCGCCAGAGAGGGACTACAGGGCGGCAGTCGTCCGGGATTGCGGTTCCCATAGCTTAGAGTTATGGGAAACGCTATTGTGGCTCATTGAGTGCGGTTTTTGAAGGAAAATTGCGTTTCCCATCACTCGCAAGGTGTAGGGCCTCGTCCAGGGAGGTTCTTTGCTGGCGTTTTCGTGGGCTCACTGGGGTTTTGCCAGCCTCCGGATGCTCAGCCGCAGCCGCGCCTCGCCAGGAGCGGCCCCCCAAGTGTGCCTGGATCGTCCCTTGAGAGGCCGCCGGAGACCGGGTGTGGCGTCCTGAAAACACCAGGCGCCCGACGGGGTCAGGACTGTGACTTCTTCTTCTTCTTCTTCCTCCTCCTCCTCTTCCTCTTCTTCTTATTTTTCGTATTCTCCTTATTCCTCTTCCTCTTCTTCTTATTATTATGATTTCCCTATATTTACACTATTATTCTTTTCTTATTCGTATTATTCGCCCTCTTCGTCATAACACTGATGGTTACCAGTGTTTCTTGTTATGTTGTGTTTGGTATTGTTTTCTTGTTATCATGATTGCTCTTCGCATTCGTATGTGTACTCGCATTCGTAATCGCATTCCTATTCGTATCATATGTATTTTTCTATACGTTTTATCAGTAGTTGTGATGTCTATGCTCATCAGAGTATGAGTATAATCGTTATGTTCGTATAATTCGTATCATTATTATCACTCTTATCATTATTATTGACATTATTATTATTAACCTTTTTGTTTTTCTTCTTCTGCTTCTTTGTTCAACACGCTCCAAGGCCCCCGCTCGTCCGCGCCCCATGCTTTTGGCCCCAATGCGCACCACCCCCTCTTCCTGGCCCCCCTGGGTCCGAGCAGATGGGGTTGGAGGATCGCGCCGCATCGTCGATGCATCGGCGATGCGGCCCGATGTGGAGTTCGATTTTCTCCGCGCTGGCGTCGTCGATGCATCGCCGATGTCGCCGATGCATCGGCGATGTATCGCCGATGTATCGCCGATGTGTCGGCGAGGTTGTCTTGAAAAATGAAGCCAGGATCGAGGACCGAGGATAGGATCGATGACCGAGGCGAGGATCGAGGACCGAGGTTCCAGGTTCGAATGCCTGCACTCCGATTCAGACTGATTGCGTCATGCCTTAACTCGGGTAGCTGAGGGAAACTGAGGGTAACTAGGTGTAACTAGGTGTAACTAGGTGTAACTGGGCGTAACTAGGTGTAACTAGGTGTAACTAGGTATAACTAGGTGTAACTGGGCGTAACTAGGTGTAACTAGGTGTAACTAGGTGTAACTAGGTGTAACTGGGTGTAACTGGGTGTAACTAGGCGTATCCGGAAGCGTTCTCATGGCGTTTGCTGCGACGCTCGTTGCCGGGACACTGTACATACATACATACAACCATCCATCCATCCATCCATCCATACACGAATGTACACATACATACATACATACATGCATACATACCTACATACATGCATACATGCATACATACATATACACAAACGCATCCATACATGCATACATATATACATGCATACATACATGCATGATTTCATACGAACATACATACATGCATACATACATCCAACTATACGTACCTACATCCATGTATACATACGTACAAACATACCTACATATATGCATACATACATACATACATACATACA